TTTTAAATTTATTTATATATAAATATATATATATATATATATATATATATATATATATATATATATATATATATATATATATATATATATATATATATATATATATATATATATATATATATATATATATATATATATATATATATATATATTATAGCTATTTCTTAGCCAAATATTTTAAATAATATGTCAAAAATAATGTCTTTGAATCTACAATTTAATATTTTAAAAATGTTAAAATATTTCATTGCAAAACAAAAGGTGGCTGACTTAAAAGTGACGGCAAACTATGCAAAACATCACTTCATTTCTTTCATGGTGTTGTACCCATGTATATGTCTGTTTCCACAATGTTATAAACAGATGTTTTTTTTTAGCCTTATAATTTGATGTGGCCGTCATGTTGTCGTTTCTTCACTGTACTGGTTTTTACCAGGTTATGGAAAAAAATAACATTCTCACTTAAACACATACGTAATAAATCCATTAAACCCATATAATTATTAATATATAATTTTTTTTTTTCCAAGTCTAAAAAGGTCATGTAGAGATATTTTGTTTTATGGCCATCTTCTGCTGTAGTGGCCATGTTTTGTTGAGGGCAAGCAGAAGCTGTCAGAGATTAAAGCCAGCCGACTGTGAGAAAGGTCAAACAAGAGCTGAGAAGAGAAGTTGCATGAAAGATGAATGCAGGTGTTCTGTATGCCTGTGATTGTGAGTCTGACTGCTGCGACCCTCTGCTGTCACTGCTGTACAAATACAGGAGAGTCAACCATAAAACGGTCTGTTCACTTCAGCGTGGCAGACTCCCTAAAGACTGACCCGCTCAACAAAACCTGCTTATAAATCAGGGGACGTCAAGTCTGAAGAGTCTGTACTTTACAGTTTGTTTGAATGAAAAGCAGCAGTTTATATGTTCGTGCTGATGTCTCGGGTCAGTTAATGTGCTTCAGGTTTAGAAGGGGTCTTTGTTTGGAGGTGTTTTTTGTTGATTAAATGCATCAACATAAAGGGAAAAAAGCGAGTGGCTATCTTTATGAGCAAATAATTGAGTCACTCGTTCAACCGATTCATTTAAATGTGTGATTCCCTGAAGAATGTAAAAAGTAGCAGTTTTTGTGAACGAATAATTGAGCCATTCATTCAACTGATTCACTTAATTGCAGATTCTTTCAAGAATTAATCAAATAACTGTATTTATGAGCAAATCATTGAGTTACTCATTCAACTGATTCATTCAAATGTGTGATCCTCTCTAGAATGAAGAAAGTAGCAGTTTTGTGAATGAATTGTTGAGCTGTTCATTTAACTGAGTCATTCAATTGCTGATTCTTTCAAGAATGAAGTGAATAGCTATATTTATGAGTGAATCACTGAGTCACTTATTCAAATGATTTATTCAAATGTGTGATTCCCTTAAGAATGAAGAAAGCAGTTTTGTGATTAAATCATTGAACCGTTCTTTCAACTCACTCATTCAAATACTGATTCTTTCAAGAATGAAGCGAATATATATGTTTAATGATTCGCTGAAGTCACACATTCAGCTGATTCGTTTAAATGTGTGATTCCCTCAAGAACGAAGAAAGTAGCAGTTTTGTGAATGAATCGTTGAGCTGTTCATTCAACGGACTCATTCATTTGCCGGTTCTTTTAAAAATGAAAAGAATAGCTATATTTATGAGCGAATCATTGACTATTTTATTCAACTGGTTCGTTCAAATGTGTGATTCCCTCCTGAATAAGGAAAGTATAGCCGTTTTGTGAATGAATCATTGAGCTGTTCATTCAACTGATATGTTAAATTGCTGATTATTTCGAGAACGAGGCGAATAGCTATATTGATGTGTGAATCATTGAGTCACATATTTAACTAATTTGTTTAAATGACTGATTCCGTTAAAAATGAAACAAGTAGCTTTCTTTATGAGTGAATCATTGAACCATTCATTTAACTAATTTATTCAAATGGCTGATTATCTCAAGAATGAATCAATCAACTATCGTTATAAGCTAATCAAGTAATCAAGCAAGGACATATCTTAGAGTGACTCATTGAGCTAGCCATTCAACTGATTCATTTAAAAGGCAGATTCCTTCAAGAATGAAGCAAGTAGCTGTCTTTTTTGAGTAAATCAAGTAAACTTTGAGCTGATCAAAAATGTAGCAAGTAGCTATCTTTGTGATTGAATCATTGAGCTATTCATTCAACCCATTCATTCAAAAGGCTGATTCCTTCAAGAATGAATCAAGTGTAGCTATCTTTATAAGTGAATCATTGAGCCATTCATTCAATTGATCCATTAAAAAGACTGATTCCTTTACGGATGAAGCAAGTAGCTACCTTAATAAAAAAAATCTTTGAGTCACTTTTTCAGTTGATCCATTAAAAAGACTGATTCCTTCATGAATTAAGCAAATAGCTTTCTTTATGAGTGAATCATTGAACCATTCATTCAACTAATTTATTCAAATGGCTGATTCTCTCAAGAATAAAGCAATTAACTATTCATTATAAGCTAATTAAGTAATCAAGAATTAAACAAGGACATATCTTAGAGTGAATCGTTGGGCTATTCATTCAACTGATTCATTCAAAAGGCAGATTCCTACAAGAATGAAGCAAGTAGCTGTCTTTTTTGAGTGAATCAAGTAAACTTTTCAATAATGTAGCAAGTAACTATCTTCATGATTGAATCATCGAGCTATTCATTCAACCGATTCATTCAAAAGGCTGATTCCTTCAACTATAAATCAAGTGTAGCTATCTTTATGAATTAATTATTGAGCCATTCATTTAATTGATCCATTAAAACGACTGATTCCTTCACGAATGAAGCAAGTAGTTTTCTTTATGAGTAAATCATTAAACCAGTCATTCTACTAATTTATTCAAATGGCTGATTCTCTCAAGAATAAAGCAATTAACTTTATAAGCTAATTAAGTAATCAAGAATCAAACAAGGACATATCCTAGAGTGAATCATTGAGCTATTCATTCAACTGATTCATTGAAAAGGCAGATTCATTCAAGAATGAAACAAGTGTAGCTATATTTATGAGCGAATCAGTGAGCCATTACTTCAATTGATCCATTCGGAAGACTAATTCCTTCACAAATAAAGCAAATAGCTATCTTTATAAGCGAATCATTGAGCCATTCATTCAACTAATGCATTCAAAAGGCAGATTCCTTCAAGAATGAACCAAGTAGCTGCCTTTTAGCTAATCAATAACTTTGAGCTAATCAATAATGTAGCAAGTAGCTATCTTCATGATCAAATCATTGAGCCATTCATTTAATCGATTCATTCAAATGTTTGATTTTCTCAAGAATGAGGCACGCAGCTATATTTATGAGTGAATTATTAAGAGATTCATTCAACTGATTTATTTAAATGGCTGATTCCTTGAAGAATGAAGCAAGTAGCTATCTTTATGAATGAATCATTGAATCACTGACTCACCAAGTTCGTTCAAAGGCACTGATTCATTAGTATAGAAAAGATCTTGTGGTGCTTTGTTTGTAACGAGTATGCAAAACAGCACAAATAATACATAGCATGAAATGAAATGATCTTCAGTTTGATGCTGATGTGGATTTTGGCTAACCTTTGGCAGTGCTGATGTCCCCGGGGTCTGCGGCCCTCCGGTGTGAGATGGGTTGAAGACTCGGGATGAGAATAAGAGAGAAAGAGAGAACCAGCACCTAGAAGGAATAAAAAGAAGGAATATGAAATGAGAGCAAGTAAATAAACAAGTTCTGCTACTGTATATGGGTCAGCCGCTGACCTACATCTTTTAAACAGCCTTGTACCAATCAACACTTTGATTATAATCATACCGCTCTCATTCCGAAACATGCAGGGAGTAGAAGATGCAGAAAATCAAGGATGTTTTAATGCTTTTTTAAAAAAAGAAAAATCTTTTATTCATGAAGCCTGCATTTGGTGAATTTAGTCAGAAAATCTTGTGTTAATATCTAGTATGATAAAATCTGGTATAATATATTGTTAGATAATGCAATTAAAAAGAATTGTTTTCTATATTAAAATGTTTTTAAAATGTTACTAAGTCATTCTTATACTGTAAAAAATTAAATGATCAATTAGTCATGATGGCATGTGTTTTTAGTTCATTGTAACTTATGAAACTAAGTTAATTATGTCCTGACCTAATTGTATAAGTTATGCAAGCTGTTTTAAGTCTGTTTAACTTAACTTAAGTTCAATGGACTCATAAGGTTAATTTGATTCAGCTTAAAAATGGCAAAATGAAGGCAACGAGGATTTATTTTTGCACTGATGCTGATTTGATATTAATGAAACATAGTGTTTCATAGAAACATTATGTTGAAAACATTTGTAATTAGACGCTTTATTTTTTTAATATTTTTATTTGATTCTATTTAGTTTTATTTTGTTATTAAAAATGTTTTTATTTTGTGTATATGTATATTATACAATTTATTTTAATATTTATTATGCTATTTTTTAATATATTGCAAACTTTATTGATAACACTAATTTTCACTTCTGAGAAGTCATTTTAGACAATTTACTTTAATAATTTTTATTTATTTTATTTTATTACAAATGTTTTTAACTTCATTAAAAATCTGAATTGTTACTTTTCAATTTTAATTGTGAAAAAGTTAAAAATATTTTGCATATTAGACAATTTATTTAAATAATCTTTGTTTTATTTTATTAAATTTTATTACAAATATTTTCAACATTATTGATAATCTGAATCATTAATTCTCAGAAGTCATTCTTATATGCTGATTTAATACTCATGAAATATTGTGGATTATTAATGAAGTGAAAAAAATAATTGTGATGTGAATTATACAGTTTACTTTATTATTTTTTATTTTATTTATTTTATTTATTTATTTTTATAATTTTCTTTTCTTTATATTTTCATTTCATTTCTTTTCATTTCTTTTCATTTCTTTTCATTTCTTTTCATTTATTTTATTTTATTTTATTTTATTTTATTTTATTTTATTACAAATGTTTTTAACTTTATTAATAATCCAAATTTTTACTTTACATTTTGGATTGTGAAAAAGTTTAAAAGATTTTGTATATTAGAATTTATTTAAATAATCTTTAATTTATTATTTTATTGTAGTTTATTTCGAATGTTTTCAACTTTATTAATAATCTGAATCATTACTTCTTAGAAGTCATAATTTTATGCTGATTTGACACCTAAGAAACATTCTGCATTGTTAATAGAGTTGAAAACATTTGTAATGTATTTTAGACAATATACTTTTTAATATTTTTTTTGTTTGTTTTATTACAAATGTTTTTAACTTTATTAATAATCCAAATTGTTACTCTTATTTTGAATTATTAAAAAGTTAAAAACAACTGTGATAATTAATATACAATTTATTTAAATAAATAAAATAAATAATGGTAAAATAAATTGTATATTTTAAAATAAATAAAATACAATATATTTTAATCATTAGTATTTATTTTATTACAAATGTTTTTTTTTTAACTTTATTAATACTCTGAATTGTTATTTCTCAGAGGTCATTCTTATATGCTGATTTGACACTCAAGAAACATTTCTGATTATTTAGTTGAAAACATTTGTAATGTATATTGGACAATTTCTTTTTAAATAATTTGTGCTTATTTTATAGAAATTATTTTATTACAAATATTTTTAACTTTATTAATAATCTGAATTGTTGCTTCTCATTTTGGATTATCAAAAAAGTAAAAAATATTTGTAATGTATATTAGACAATTTATTTAAAAAAATATTTTATTTTATTTTTATTACAAATGTTTTCAACTTTATTAATAATCCCATTTATTGCTTCTCAGAGGTCATTCTTATATGCTGGTTTGACACTCAAGAATCATTCCACATTATTAATAATATAAATTAATACTTCTTCTGCAGAAACATTCCGGATTATTAATAAAGTTGAAAACATTTTTGATCTATATTACTCTAATTTAATGGGATGCTGAGAATGGGATGCGGATCCAAATGCAGGTTTATTCAACATAGAATAGTCAGGCAAGCAACGGTCAACACAGGAACAAACAGATGTATACGGGCAATCCAGAGTCGTGGTCAATAAACAGGCAGATGGTCAAAAGGCAGGTTGCAGACAGGAATAAACAATAAAACAAAGCTAAGATTAAGCATGGCAAGACAAGGTAAAGGAAACGTGTTACAATATTCACAGTACAGTTTAACAAGACTCAGCACTGATGTGTGCGTGTCTGTGTGCTGTTTATAAAGTCCATCTGATCAATTCATGAGCAGCTGCCAGCTGTGAGTGTGTAATCAACCTGATGAGGAACAGGTGCGTGTGAGCGGTGCATGACTGGGTATGTAGTTTATGTAATGGCAGATTTGTAGTCAGCCATCCACAGCCTCTAGGTCGCTGATAATCATAACAATCGCACAATGTATTTTTTTGTATTCAAATTTAACTGATTATATTATTTTATTTAATATATTTCGAACAAAAATTACATTGCATCATAACCAACAAAACATCTAGTGTGTGTGCAAAACTCAATAACAAAAACAAATATTTAGAATAAAGAGTTAAAAAAAAAGAAAAGTGTTTACTGTCACATTTAATCAGTGCAATGCATCCTTAAAAGTTAAATAAAAAGTATTTTAAAAGTATTATTTCCTAAACGGTGTGTATGTTGATTAGCGAATTACGATTTTGTGTAATTAAATATTCCATCATTTTTCATCTTTCTGTCCTCCCTTCACTTTTCCAAGTCAACTTCTTTACTCTTATGCTGCGTCTTTCCTCTTCAGCACTTTCCTCTCTAGAATGTGTTTCTGAGATAAGCAGATGCTGTAAATCATGATGCCTGCTCTTTACACACGTCAGCAGTACTGCAATATCCACACACTCCTCTTCATTTATCTTCATGGCATCTTGTGTTCATTTTAATTTAAAAATGCACTTGGTGCTTCCCGAGTCACTTTTACAAATGAATCGTTCGTCTGCTTAAGGGAGAGATTGATGCTCAGATTTATTAATAAAGAGAAATATAATCGTATCGAACAGACACTGAATAAATAAAATAAAATAAAAATCATGGACATCAGTGAGCAGAAAATATTCTGTAGAACTAACCGACTGACTGAGCAAACACTGACTGTGCCTGTGAAGAGTTTTTATTTATTTTTATGAAAATAGTTCTAAGTAGTAACACACTGAATTTAATTAAAACTTTACAAACTTTAATTTAATTAACCTTTACAATAATTATTTATTAACAAATAAACAATATAATACAATTACACGTGTGCGTGTATATATAAACAGCAGGGGCCTCATGTATCAACGCTGCGTACGCACAAAAACTTTGCGTACGCCAGGTTTCACGCTCAGAATCGCTCACGTTTGGATTTACTAACAATGAACTGAACGTGGGAATGTGCGCACCTTCACGGCAGCTTTCTGGCAGGCGTACGCACATTTTTTGTGCATGTCTGTTTTATTTCCATTGGCGACTCCTAGAGGCAGTTGTGTTAAATACTTCTCTACAAAGTGTCTGATCCTTGCAATGGCAGCTGTATGAGACGGGTTCATATAGTAGGTATGTAAGATTTCCATACCATACAGTTGACCAGCTAAACATTAAAGCACAATTTGCAGCGGTCGCCTGTTTTCCCAATGTAATCTGAGCGATCTACTGCACGCACATTGCTATAAAGACACTATCTGAAGATAAATTTGCATGCGTGAATCAGAAACATTTCCATTCAATAAATGTGCAAATAAAATATGATGCACAAACTTATTTAAACTGTGTTAACTGTATCAGCTAAACTCTCCCACTCTATTTTTTTCTTTTGTTGTTAATTCCGGAGAACAAACTTGCAAATAACACCGCTTTTCTCCGTTCTACCTCCGAAAGCAGCACCTCCAATTCACATTCTGTTCAAAGTTTCTCTTTTTGTTTGATTTTGCCGTTGCTTTTTCGTTGGGTTTTGCCATTAGCATAGTCATTAGCATATTCATACGGGGGAGGAGGCAGGGAGGGGTTTTGCGCTCGTGCATGTTGCGCTCAGTTTCACGTTCATTCGGATGTACAAAAGAATATGCGTGAGATTCGGCGTACGCAGTGTTTCATACATCTGAAATTTTTTCTGCGTACGCACTGTTTTAGTAAGATTTCCACGCAAGTCTTCGTACATGAGGCCCCAGTTCTGTCTGGTTCTCGAATCTGATTGGCCGATAGCCGTGTAGTATTCTGCAATATCAGCACTTGTACAGCCCCATCATCCTTCTGTATTACTCCATCCACATAGAATGACAGCAGATCAATAAACTTATTACAGTTTGACAAATATTGCAGCTGTTGGACAACATAATGAACTTTTGGGGCTTTTTTTTAGGCAAGAATGTGGTTCTAATAATTTATCTCCAAAATAAATAAAGAAAGAAACCCAGCCGCTCAAGGCATCGACGGAGCTGAATCGAGCGCTCTTGCACAAAAATACTGTACATGCATCTAAACACGCATAACAACTGAGACAATGGAAAATCGGTTGTTCCTTGCGCCACCTGCTGGCTATTGCGTAACGCACAGAAATGTTTTTTTTTAATGAAGAGGCGGTCTTTGCAGCCACAGTACTGCATGTGACTGCACCTGACAAATTGCAGTATTGCGCATGAAGAATATGCGCGTTCTA